TCCTCCCCACCCCGCCCGCTGAGGACCTGGCCAGGTGCCGGGCAGGTGTCCCGTGCCCTTTGAGCGCCTCTTTATCAAATGCCGAGGGGGAGCCTCCGCGCAGAGCTTGAAAATGAGGCCTGTGGTTCTCATCAAGTTCAGCTCTCGCGGGCCACGGATGGGGCGGCCTGGGCCCGGAGGGGAATACTCAAGGCGGGCCAAGCCGCCCGGCTGCGCTGGGGCCAGGCCTGAGCCAGGCGCGCTGGAGGCCCAGGGACGCCACGGAGGCGGCTCTCTGGCGCCCCCTGCGGGCCGCGCACGTGCCCGCGCCTGTGGCCGGAACTTGGTCCAGCCGAGCCGCTGGGGCCCCACGGAGCACCGCTGCCCAGTGTTAGACCCCTGCCGGGGCGGAGGCTCCCAGAGGCCGGGGATGGCGCTGGTCCACGCACTGCGTCAGAGGCCGGTCTGTGTTGGGGGGACCTGCCCATTTTTCAGACCAGAAACTGGTGCCCAGGTCCCTGCTGGGAGTTGGTGCTGCGCCAGCCTGGCACTTGGCAGCCTGCAGGTGCTGGGACCCCCCGCCTCGCCTGCTGTCCTCCCCTGCATGCCCACAGGCCCCACCTGAGCCCACCCCCTCAGGGCCCGCTGGCTGCCCCCGCTGCCGTGCCAGCTTCTGGACGCCCGGGCCAGGGGAGAGCTGTGCCCCCATGAGGGCCTTCGGGATTCAGACCCCGCCGCCGGCCCCAGCACCCCTCTGCGACCGGGGCCCCTCAGACTGCTGTTGGGCCCTCGGCTTGCCCAGAGAGCCTGGGAGACGGACCCGGCGAGGCCCCACGCTCGCTCAGCCCCGGCCGGCCCCTCCTGCCCCTGCCTCCACGGAAGCTTCCGGTGGCTTCAGCTGCCAACACTCTTCGCCTGCCACAGCCCCCACGCCAACAAGCGGCCGGTGTGGCCGCCAGGGGCCACGCCTGCTGCTCCCGGGCCCGTACGGGTGTGGGGGGGCCTGGGCCCTGCCTGCCCATGCTGCCATGCTGCCATGGCCTCGTCGGCTCAGGGACCGCTCAGGGACCCGGGCCCTTGCGCCGGCTCGCCATGCTGGCTCGCGGGGTCGCCTCCCAGGCCCGGCCCCTCAGCACTGGCCTGCACGTGGACTTGCTCCCCTCCGCCCAGGGCCCTGGGCAGCTGCTGGCTGGGCCCAGTCTGCAGACCCTCCAACCCCCAGCCTGGCCGAACACCCAGGGCACCCACCCACCGGCAGGGCCCAGGGCCAGTGGCCACATGACCCCGGCCTTTGCAGCTGCGTTCTCCCGATGGCACGGGTGCCCGCCCCTGCCGTTTCCACCACTCAGTCCTCCTCCAGGCAGACCTCCAGGCCAGCTCCTCCCACCGCCGGGCCCTAACACTCATCTTGCTGGACTGCTCCATGGACTGTATCTTCTGGAAGCTGCCCTTTCCTCTCTCCAGGCCAAGCTGGGTGGGGGTGGGGTCAGGCCCCCCACCCCTAGCCTCGGTGCCCAGGCATAGCACAGCCGGCCTTAGAGGCGCCACGTCACGCTCAGTGAAGTACTTTATGCTCAGGGGCTGTGAGGAACCAGCTGGCCTGGCCCCACGCCAGCGCGGCTGGGAGGGGTTGGGGGTGGGGCGCTGGGGGCCGGCCAGTGCCGCAGGCCATGCTGGGGTGTCCCTGACCCTCTGCAGGGTGTGGGGTCTGCACCATGCACCCAACAGAAGGCCAGCCACGTGGAGTCCAACTTCCTAGGCCGCACTTTCAAGAAAGAAACAGCTGTCAAGCCTCCAGGTAACAGACAGTTTATTTACCCGGTGTCCACATATGGCTCCAGACGTGGACAGGTGAAGCTGAAGGCTCGTGCCCCTCGCGGTCAGCTGTGTCTCGCTCAGCCCCGCCCAGCGCGGCGCCGGCCCCATGGGGCAGGCGCTGTGTGAGGCAAGACCCGGCTCCCGGTGCGGCCTGGGCCCAGCGTGACCCGCGCCCACCGGGGAGCCAGCGTGGGCTTCGACTGCCCCGCAGGGAGGCTGGGAGGGGGTGCCCATGTCCGAGAGTGGAGGGTGGCGCAGTGCGCCCGGGCAGGCGGCCGCCGCCGTCGGCTCTGCCACGCGCTCTGCGTTCTCGCCTGCGGCCCCAGCACGTGCATTAGCAGCACCCCGTTTCTGCCTCCACGTGGTGCAGGCCCAGAGGACACGCTTGTCTCCAGCTGGCTCCAGGTGAGGACCCGAGCCAGCGAGGCAGGAGGCTGACGGGGCGCGGGTGCGGGCGGCAGTGGGCCTTCGCCGGGGCCTGCAGCCCGGAGCTGGCGGGCCCAGAAGCCCCGCACACGCGCTGGGCCACCCTCTGGGCAACAAGGCCAGCAGGGCGGAGGGAGGGCCCGAGCGGCCCGAGGGCCAGACCCGGGCTGGTGTGCACCAGGGCCCAAAAGCGGCGCCCTTGGGACCCGCCGGCCCGGTCCCTGGGGTCCTGTGAACTCAGCTGAGAGGGAGGGAGGCAAGGCCAGAGGCCAGATGGGCCGGGCTCACCTCTGCCACCCCTTTTTTGAGGAGCATCCACTATGACATCTCTCAGTACAGGCCTGTTGCTGACCGCCAGGAAGCAGCGGCGGGCAGTGGGGCCGCAGAAGGCAGCCACGTGTTCCCTCAGTCCCCACCGAAACTCCAGGGCTGCAGGGAAATGTTAGCAGAGTGGCCACGTCAGACGGCTGAAACTGCCTACGCCCGCGCGCCTGTCAACGAGGCGGCTCCTCGCCAGAGGCCCGAGCCCAGGCCGCTCCCCTTTCTCTGGGTCCCACTGCCACCTGGGTGCCCTGGCCGGCAGGCTGCAGCTGCAGCCACCGCTGGGGCTTGATGCCATCTACGGGCACACTCAGTCCGCCTCGCTGGAGGAGCTGGGGCAAGCGGGCAGGCTGCGCCCCTGCGCGGACCAGCAGGCAGGTGAGCAGGTGAGCGGGCCAGGCTAACTGCTGCCGCACCTGCTGGCAGAGCCAGGCTGCCATCGCAGGCGCCCTTTCCCAGAGGCGCCTCGGGTGGGCGCGCTGCGGGCGAGCCCTCGGCGTGGGAGCGGGGAAACGGCGCGTCCACACGTGGCCGCCCCCTCCCCGGCCGCGCGGCG